AAGTAGAAGCTAAATAATGAGAAAACCTGGACACAAAAAAAGGAATAACAAACTGGGACCTGCTTGAAGGTGGAGGGTGGGAGGAAGGAGACAATCGGAAAAAAATAACTATTAAGTACTAAGTTCAGTACCTGGGTGATGAAATAACCTGTACATGAAACCCCTGTGACACATTGACCTGTATTGTAAAACTGCGCATGTGTTTCTGAACTTGTAATAAAAAAAATAAAGTTCAAGTAGACCTTTAAGCTAGAAACCGTTTTACATTTAGTCAAATAGAAACTATTTTACATTAGTTTTTATATTGCCAACACTTACTGCAGCACCTAGAGCAAAAAAGGTAAATAAATATAAACTAAATCCATGACTTTGGTTAAATAAATAATGAGGGTGATTGATTTCTTTGGCTACCAGTTTCTCTTTGATGTGGCTTTTATCCTACTGGACATGGTTTTTTTCTTTAACATCTGAGAAGTACAAAAATTCTCTTCTTCCTTTGCTCCCATAACCCATGACCGATGATTCTTATCCTACCCCATAGGCCAATTCTTTTTAATTTTGCTAACTGGCTTCTCTTCTTATAAGGTTACTATTACCATTACTGTACTTCGTATAAGGTAACTATAAGTTAAAAGGGTTAAATAAGTTGTTAAAATATTAAATGATATGCTGCAAAGTGAGGATATAAACTAAAGTGGTAACTCACTTCAACTTTTTTTGTGTTTGTTGCATTTTTAGACTAAGCCTTCATTCTTACCCAACATCTTCTTTGTCACTTAGAAGAACTTTATACTATTTATTGAATGAGTGAATGAATGAGCATGTAATAGAGTCTCTCAGATGAGGGAACATTAGAGATCGTCTAATCTAATTTCTTAGTAGTTAAAATCACGCGTTTGGTGTATATGTGATGTGTATGTGTGTATGTTCTGGACTGAACAATAAATATGTCTGTCACTGTAATTGTTGAAGTCCAGAGAATGTAAGAAACTTTTCCATTAGAAGTGTACCCATATTGGGTTAAATGAGCTCCTTAGATGTTTCACTGTTCCAAAAGAGGAGGTTTTTTCTCTTGACTTGACCTAAGAGAATTTCCGCTATGTTAAGGGAAATAAGCCAGGCATAAAAAGACAAATATCACATGTTTTCCGTAATATATGGGAAATAAAGAATTGAATTAATGGAGATAGAGAGTAGATTGATGGTTACTAGAGGCTGGGAAGGGTAGCAGGGAATCGGGTTAAAATAGGAATAGCTAATGGATATGAAATTACAGATAGAATGAATGTGATCTGCTATTTGGAAGCACCATATAGAGTGACTATAGTTAACAATAATTTACTAAATATTTTCAAATAGTTATGCTTGAGATGATGGATACTCTAATTACCCTGATTTGATTATTATTTACTGTGTGCCTGTTTCAAAACATACCATGTATGCAATTAACATATACAACTATTTTGTATTCACAATAATTGAAAAAAAAAATTAAAAAGAAAATTCTCTGTCTACCAGTGGTTTTTCCCTAGGATTGGTTTCCCTGTCAGGTCTATCATGGACCCAACTGTGGGCAGACAAATGGACAAGCCACCTTCACCCAGCCTGGCAGACATCAGCAATGTCAGCAGCACACTTAGCTTAAGAGCATTGTGACTACTGGTGAAAAAAAGAATAGAATATTCACATGTTCACTGAAAGAGTTGCTCATTTGAAAAAGTGAATTATCTCAGTCCTAGAATAATTGGGAGAAAAGTAATTTATGAAACAAAGATTTAGAAGTCTTTTAGTAAGTGAAGACAAAATTCAGGAAAATGTAGATAATTACTCTGGTTATTACTCCATTTTTTCAATATCAGAAAGAATAATGAGAATAAATCAATTATACATTTTCAAGCCACAGATTTAAACAGCAATACAATATTCCTAGATTTCCTTTGAGAGATGTGAGCATCTCCAGATTTGAGTCTTTTGTTTGTATACTTTTCATTCAGCATATAATAAGCATTTATAGTATAAACAATGGGTCAAGCACTATGCAAGATACTTAAATGCAAAATCAAATAAATCATAACTTATTATTATTGAATTTGTGGTCGAGTGATGACATAGATATGTAAATACATAATTATATTGGGATAAGCTTTAAAAGGGTACTATAAAATTAATTGTGACAACATAGAAGAGGGAGCAACAAATGACTATTTCATGAGACAATTACAACCATCTTCTCTACTATTTCTCCCAGCCTACATTTTCCTCTCAATGTTCATGTTACAAATCCTTTCTCAAAATGATGTGCCTTAATAAAAGAGCATTCATTTCAACATCTGGTACTTAATTAATTAAAATTCAATTTCACAAACAGACACTGAATGCCTATTATGGGAACAACATAGTGCTAGTTATTATTTAAACAGCAAACCTCACATAGAGGTCACCAGGAGCCTGAACTGTATCTATAGAGAAATATTGGTCTCAAAGAACTTAAATATGAGACTAATTTTCCTGACAGTCTGCACACAGAAAATAGGTGTGGACAGGTTTTACTTAAACTAGGGAACATAGAAAAAAACTGTGTAATTGTAAAACTGAAAGTGACCTGTAAGAACAGATTAAGTGTTGGCAAATACCTTAGAAGAGTCGCTTGTAGGGGAAAGATTTGCTCAAGCAAAGATAAAATGAAAAAGCACAGGACATGCTTACTTGATTAGTTACAGATAATTAAAAAGGTTGCACATGTGGAAAAGGTTTTAACACAAGAAAAGTTAGGAAAATCGGCTTTGGCTTGGATGATGAAACACATGGGACAACTTTGCATTTTGTTCACTGTGTAAATGGAAGGCATTGAAAGATTTAATAAGTAGAATATCTTCTGCTTTAGGATGCCTTGGGAGGCAATGTAGAGAGTAGCTTGGAGAAGTATGAAAAGTAGATCACATGATATAAAAAGTGCAAATGATTAAAAATAGAACATTTGAAAACATCTAATTGAAGGAATTAGATCAGGAAAACAACACACCAATGAAACAGAGCACCCAGAGAGTTAGGAAATAAACAGAGCAAAGCATTTACGACCATGTCTGTATATCTAAGATTATGCTTTGACTCATCTATTATAGTTATCATCTCTGGCAATGTTTACTAATAGCCTTATACCAATTAAATAGCTTGTGATCTGCATTAATATTTAAATTGTTAAACATGATTAAGTTAATTCTATTGAAATCAAATGTTCCAAACTGGCAAGAAAATGGATTGGCATGTGTTATTCCATCTGCACTATGTGTTTTGTTTTTTTTTTTTAGATAGACAATCTAAAGAAAATTTGGTGGATTCATATGAAAAAGAAATCTGTAGCTCTGTATTATAAAAACCATGAAAATAATACAAGATGATGTGACAGCACTTTGGTCTTCCTGCATGTAAACAAGTGGCTCTTGCCATTAGAAGATATAGTGGACTAAAATCCTTACCACCCTCTATGAAATTCCTGAAAGCAGTGTGGGACCAATAATCATTTGTCATCAGTCTTGTTATTGTTATAAAATATAAAGAAAATATGTATCAATGATCATGCCTCTATCAAATGTATATCACTAAATACAGATCAAGGGGTATATAAAATTCAAGAAAATAAAATATAAAATTTATTTCAGAACCTAGAACAGCTCCTGATGTTATATTTCAATAAATATGTATTTAATGAATGAATAAATGTACTTACATAAATATGTATTGAATTAATGAATAAATTTATACTGCCTATGTACTTTTAATTAACTGCCTAGACCAAAGTAAGCATTTGGATTTTCGAATCTCCATCAGGGATGTACTGTTTAGGTTCATTACATCTCAGCTTACTTATTACCAAGAGAGTAAACAACCTGATGCCTCCATAGGGTCATCGCAAGAACAATGGAACTTAAAAACTGGTGAAATATAACTGGAACTATTTTCTGCCTTTCACTTTCAATAATGCTAATGATTCTTTTTGTTTGTTCCAGCCCAAGCCAATTTATACTAATCGAATGATTATTGACTCAATGTTGCCAGTCAAACAATAGCTAACATTTACTCTAAAATAATTGCAATGTGAAAAATAAAAGGCTATATTGAAAATACATTCTCTATGATCTTTTATATACAGCATCAAATACTACATATGAAACAATTCAGTAGAAGCAAGAAAAATATGACTATGTTGGTTCATCCATCAGTTTAGTCAACTTTTTTCCACTCCCATTCCCCATTTTTACTGGTAATGTGTTGACTTTTAAACTATGTTTTCGTTTATTGTTTCTTTTTCTTTTTCTCTGCTTAGGTCTGTTGTTATAGCAGAAAGTATCTTCCTGCTAAGATATAATCCTCTTGATTATTTTATTATTCACATCCAGAAAACTTGATTTCAGTACTTCATAAAACCAGATGTTTAGAGAAAGCCTAGCAACACTTTGATATGGAAATGAAATAGAATAGTGCTAGAAACTGGGAACAAAGAAGCAGGAATTATAATCAGTATATTAGTGTAAAAGATAGCGTATGCTTGATGAGATAATATATAAAAGTGTCTGGACACAGTGGCTCACGCCTCTAATCTCAGCACCTTGGTCCAAGGTGGGTAGATCACAAGGTCAAGAGATCGAGACCATCCTGGCCAACATGGTGAAACTCCATCTCTTCTAAAAATACAAAAATTAGCTGGGCATAGTGGCGCATGCCTGTAGTCCCAGCTACTCAGGAGGCTGAGGTAGGAGAATTGCTTGAACTGGGATGTGGAGGTTGCAATGAGCTGAGATCGCACTACTGCACTCCAGCCTAGTGACAGAGCAAGACTCTGTCTCAAAAAAAAAAAAAATAGAGCTTTGACTCACAACCTTCAGAAATCTGCCCAGGAAACCAATCCCTTATCTATGATGAACAACTCAGAAAGCCAGACTACCAAAAATCACACTTGCAGGAAGCCAGAATGTTATCTGTTGTGACAATATAGGAGATTAAACAGTAACTTCTATAACAATCATCTCAAAATAGCCAGAGTATGATTAATAATTGAAGGTTTCTTTAATTTTTGTTTCTGCTTCCAAAGAAACAAAAGAAAGAAGAGCCAGAGAAAGTAAGATACACACCCTTAGCTGATTACATAAGGTGTTTCACCTCTAGTTAATTCACCTACAGCTTTCCCAGATCAACAACCACCAATTAGTGTATAAATAAAGCCTTTCCTTTTATTCACTGTGAATGTTTACCACTTCTGTGCCTGCATTTGAGTTTTTGTCAAAATGCAACTGAAGGTGAATGACTCCCTTGCTACGATAATCTATGAATTAATACCCTTTGCTTTTCTCATTTGGTTGGTCTTATTGTGTGTGTGTGTGTGTGTGTGTGTGTGTGTGTGTGTGTGTGTGTGTGTTTCTGCATTGAAGGTATGAAAGGAAGTGTATCATTCAATGGGAATAGACAGAGAAAGGAAAGAAGTAAATTATGTATGATGTAAAAGAAATTGTGAACAGTCTTCTTTCTGGAGTCCTTAGTTTCTCATCTACATGTGAATAGTGCAAGTGAGCCATTCATCAGTGGGCTTTCATTTACAGTATGTTATGAGGTGGCAGATAACATACAGTCCAGAGTTGTTGTCATGTGAAGGCTTGACTAGAGATGAAGGATCCCCTACCAAAAAGGCTCACTCGTGTTGTCCGAAGACCTTAGTTTCTCACTGCTTGTTGGCAGAATGTCTTGTTTCCTTGTGGGGTGGATCTCTTGGTAAGGCAGTTTGAATCCTCTGTGGGGCACAGATGGCTTCTCCAGAGTGAGGGGTCCTAGGTAGAGAACCGATAGGAAGTGACACGCCTTTGGTGAGCTAATCTCCAAAGTCACACTCATCACTTTTCTTTGCTCTATTTGTTAGAAGTGAGATGAAATCTAGCCCACACTCATGGGGAGTGAATTTATGTTCATTCTACTTTTTTCATGTCTGAGATTTTGTGGATATATTTTAAAGCACAATAAAGTTTTGTCATTGCTGGTTTTTGTTATTGTTTTTTGGGGGGAAGACAGGGTCTCCCTCCATCACTGTGCTGAAGTGCAGTGGCATAGTCATGGCTCACAATATACTTGACCTTCCTGGCTTAGGAAATCCTCCCCCTCAGGCTCCCGAGTGGCTGGGACTATAACCATAACCCACCACGCCTCGCTAATTTTTGTATTTTTTGCAGAGACAGGGTTTCGCTATGTTGCAGGCTGGTATGGAGCTACTGTGTTCAAGTGATCTACCAGCCTCAGATTTCCAAAATGCTGTGACAATGTAAAGTTTTTAATATTGTTATTAACTCAATCTTTCCTAAAACTTCTTAAAGTGGTCATTATTAATATCTCATTTCACAGATGAAGAAGGTGAAGCTCAAAAAGACTAAATAATTTGTTATCACAAGGAATGCATTGCAGAGCTACAATTTGGATTTGGGCAATTTAGTTTATGAGTCTAGGCTTTTAATTTTTATATGAAACTGTCTTTCTGTCAACAATCTACACATCTCATTTTATAACAGATTACTTTTGAGTTCTGAGAACTTCTTCCAGATTCATATATCCCCTGGGATACCTGCTTCTCAGGATTTTTCCCTTCTAGTCTTTTCTCCAATCTGCTGAAGCAGCACCATTCCCTTGAAAGGTAGAAAAAATCCCCAGTTTTCTTTTCTTTTTCGTTTTGCTTTTCTTTCCTCTTCTTTTCTCTTTTCCTTCCTTTTATTTATTTATTTTTTTTTTTGAGATGGAGTCTCCCTCTGTCCCCCAGACTGGAGTGCAGTGGTGTGATCTTGGCTTACTGCAACATCTGCCTCCTGGGTTCAAGCAATTCCCCTGCCTCAGCCTCCCGAGTTGCTGGGGCTACAGGTGCGTCACCACGCCCAGCTAATTTTTTGTGTTTTAGTAGAAATGGGGTTTTACCATGTTGGCCAGGATGGTCTTGATCTCCTGACCTCGTGATTCATCTGCCTCGGCCTCCCAAAGTGCTGGGATTACAGGCGAGAGCCACCGCGCCCGGCCTCAGTTTATTTTTGGAACTTCAATCTCATTGCTTAGTGGAGGAATGACCTTGCTCAGCCCATAAAATATTTTCTCTTCTGATTATGTCCCTGTCTCTGGCCTCCTTGGGGTAGAAAGAACTGAGCGCACTCCTCTGTGAGGCAGGATTGCATGATCACATTTAGAGGTCCAAAGCACTGAAGAGATTATTGGCTAAAGAACACGATGAGATAAGCAGGAATGCTAGTTATTCAAAATAAAAACAATGTTTAATTTTAAGCTATAGTAATGCAAGGAAACGCACAGGACTTTTTTTGCTCCATTTTGATCTCCATCAGTGCTTCTTTTTGAAATAGCAAATGCTTTCATTTTGTTTTCATGGCTTCATTTTGTGAGTGCTCTAAGCACATATTTGCTCTGACTCTTAAATAAATCTAACACTGAAAAGAGACTTATGTCCCAAAGTGTTACAGGCTCAAAACTATGTCATTCTAGTTTCTAAAGACCCATGTATTTCACACCAGAAACATGTATTATATCAATCGTATTGTGGCTTAATTAGGCAATTACTGATAATATTCCCTCAATGAGGAAAACATATTTTACAATTTAAAGAGCTGACAAAAAACAATTGAGAACAAAATGGATGTGAATAGTATTTCAATGTAAAATTCCTCCTATATTTAGAAAAAGTATTTCAATCTGTGCAGAGATCCAATATTGTAACACTGTTACATTCAGCAAAGATAATTCTTTTCTTTTTAAGATATTTCTGAAATACTTTGTGTGCTACAAGCTTTTTTTAATTTCAAGAAAAAATAAAAGAAGATGCTACTGCTATAATATGCTGGGAAATCAGAGTTGGAAATCAACCCTATAGATTTCTTAAAATACAAAATATTAGGGAAAAGTTTCAGACAGCACTGTTTTCAGTGTATTTTCTGTCTCTGTTTATTAGAACATATACACATCTTTCTAAATTAACAGCACTAAGACAAATGCATAATTTCAATGTGTTTATGTTCTGAATTGCTGATTATTTTTAACAGTTTGCCAATGTCTACTTGATGTCTGTTTGACAACAAGATTTCTCTTCCCTTTAGGGATTTAAGTGAAACCTTCCTGTAGACTTGGTCAGATTTAGTTTTTGAAAAATCTCACATAAACTGATGGATCAGACACTATCGCTCTCATAATTTCAACCAGTTTGTCCCATTTTAATTGCTTTTGTGCTTCTTTGCTGGCACAGGGAATAATCTGAACAGTGTGGGAAATCTCTTAAGGAAGATTAGGCTAGGATTCTGAAGGCAGCTCATGTTAATGTTAATATCAATTTTACACGTGGCCTGGAAATATCTCAGTCAAAAAAGTGTTAACTGAAGCTAGATGAGATTTTCTTTTTTCTTCAAATATATATTTATGTGTAACACAGGAATTAAGATACCTTTTGAACCTAATATTAAGCTGGGCATGCATAGTCTCTGTCTTCTAGAAACCCGAAGAATCGCAAGCCTGTCCTATTTAAATTTTGTGTCTTCCAGTTTGGTGGAGATGGCACACCTGGGATTGAATCTGGTGATATTATTTATCTGGAGAGCTGAACTCCCTGACCTTTGACTATCCTTTAGTTTATTAGTAAAGATGAGATGGCTGTGTTTGAAAGAAAGAAAGAATGGCGGGAGAGTGAATGAAGACTGTAGACCTGGTGTGTATGTCTTCTCTTCTTCTATCTTAATTCCTTAGAAATGGCAGAGAAGAAGAGGGGAAACAACACACACTGGGGCCTGTCGGGGGAGAGGTGGAGAGGCAAGGGGAGGGAAAGCATTAGGACAAATACCTAATCTATGGTGGGGCTTAAAACCTAGATGGCAGGGTGATGGGTGCAGCAAACCACCATGGCACATGCATACCTGTGTAACAAACCTGCACCTTCTGCACATGTATCCCAGAACTTAAAGTAAAATTTAAAAAAAGAAATGGCAGAGAATGTTCTTCTTTGAAGAAATATCTCAAGAACAGTGCCAGAAAATAAGAGCTATTACCATCAATGGGCCACTTTTTATTTTATTTTTATTTATTTATTTTTTTGGATATTCCTAAAGGATAGAAAGCAGATGGGAGCAGACAAATGGAATGAAAAAATCCGTGAAATATTTGCAGCAGACAAGCAGGGTAGGCCTGCTGGGAAGAAGGAAGTGGTCAGGGGGAGTCCTGGGGTAATTGACAGAGCGATGAATAGATGAACTGTCCTGGGTTCTAACCAAAATGCTCTCTACCCTACCTTGGATTCACTAAAGATCTGACTGCAGCAACATCTGCCTCCCTGACAATGAAGTAGTTAGCAGTGTTGGGGTCCAAGAGGCACAAAGAGGTCATAGATGACGAGTATTCTTAGGGAAGATAGAAACAACGCAGCAAAAAGTGAGCTATGTGTCCCTGAGTATAGAATATTTCATTCTTATTCCATAATAGTAGAGACTACCCTTATAATCAGAATGTTTTCCTATGGATACTTTTTCATTGTTTAGGTAATTTATCATGGGAACATAATCCTTTGTAACTTATGTGATTAAAAATATTTCAATTCCTATGATTCTGGCTGATATATTCTAATCTCAACTCCCTTTCTTCCCCTCTCAGTCCTATGGTTTTATTCATCAACGTCCTGCCCCTTTCCATAAATTTATACTTCCCCAAAATGGATTGTGCTAAACCACCAATATCTCAACACATTGAGGGGGCCCTAGTCTGTGTAAAGATGGGTTCTTATCTTTTCTCGTTATAAATTTTAAATGACGTTTTTCTTCAAGAAAGTAGATCTGTGAAGAGAAATTAAGATCTTCAGCCCAGGAGGCCATCTAAGCGCTAAAGAGAAAAGAAGACCAGAGATTATTAGAGGCTCAGCTTACAAACAATTTGCTTTCAGCTCTAGGTCTTTAAGTTCTGATTTTCTATTTCTTCTTTGCTTTGGCTGGCTACACATGGTACATCATTATTTATGTCTTGGATCACACAGTGTTCATTTCAGATTGCTGACTTCCATGGCAGAGGCTCTGCTTAATCTTGGTAAGCAATTGAACTGCTCATGTGTCATGAGGGCCTGAATTGAAACACAGTGACACAGAATAAATTCAGCCATTTCTCGAACTTTCAGTAGCAGTAGGAGTGCCACACTTTGAAACACCAACACAACCCAGTAGCGCAGAGCTGCTCCTATTTACGGTGCGAGTCCCCTGCTGTTGTGTTATTTCTATACTGTGAATTCACAGCTTTGTTTTCCTTTTGAGACCACATTGTATTTCCCGTTCTTTAGTCCCATTTTAGAAAATTTCAGAATCAGTGTCACTAGCATACCTATGCCACCCAAAACATGAGCGGCAACAACATTTCTTTAAATGAAATCTTATGTGAAAGTCCAATGTGAGAAATGTTTACAAGTAGTAGTTCCCTAGCTGATGGAAAAGTGGAAACACAAACTCTCTATTCTCTTCTGCCACTCAGCCTTTCTGAGTAACTTCATGGAGCGCTCCCATCCAGGGCACTGATCTCCCCATCTTCAGTAAAGGCTACACATTGCAGTTGCCCAAAGGACCACTGGTCATTTCCTGGGGTTAAAGCTTGTCATTGTGCATGTCATTAAGTGAGTATTTTACATTTAAAAAAAAAACAAAAAAAACTAAAGTATAGTCTACAACTTAAAAATGAATTAATAATACAATTAATTTCATGTGTAAATTTCTTATAACTTTAAGATTTAATTCATCCATTGAACAAATCTTTTCAAGTATCTACTTTTGTCAGGCAGTGCTGTAGACACTAGGCAGAGAGAAAATGCTGAAGCTTTCTGTGCATGAAGCTCTTACATGTATTATATTGTTCCTACAATGGACTGAGATTGAGCAGTTTACACGTGAACCCCGCTTTGACCTTTAATAAATAAATATAAAAGGAGCTTTTCCCACCTTTATATGCATACACCCTCTACCAAAGAGTTAACATTTGTACCCTCAAAAGTAATGACAATGAATTATTTTCCATTCAAACTTACACAGGAGAATGATGTGCACTCTTGTGTCTGAGAGTGCCCTAGTCTGGCAGCAGAGAATGGAGGTCCGTAGCATGAAGACATACTCTGGTTAGTGAAGGAAGTAACAACCGAAGGCTAAGAGCCAAGTACCAAACCACAATGCATTCTAATTTTAAAACAATGAACTGCGTTCTTGTTTGTTGCAGCCTGATAAAAACACTTCAGCTGACTCTGCTTTTTTGACAGGTGCAACTTGGATTTGTAGAACTTAGATTCCTGATATAGCTTTTTAGTCAGACTATGACACCTTTTTGTGTGTAAAGTAAGTAATTTTTCATTTGCTTGTAAGCTCAGAAATACCATGTCTCTTGAATTCAGAAGGCATGTAGATTTACAACTCCATTTCTTTCTGTACTTGAATGTTAATGTAGAATGTAAATAATTCTTTATCTTATTTAAAGTCTTTAAAATATGTCTTCAATATTTCAGTATCATTTTTAAATTTTCTGCAGACTGATAGAAAAAATAAAGTAGAATTATTTCCTTCTATTTTTAGGTAATTAATTTTTTTTCACCTTACAGGATAAATATAAAGGATCAAAAGAAAAAGGAGAAACAGTTAATCTATTTCTGAATCTGTACATGCGTTTCTTCCATATGACTATCTCATGCTCAGCTAGCATCTCTGCTCCCTTACCAACTTGTAAAATTCAGAATCATGAATTTTTCTTTGACTATATGCATAGTGTCATATAATTGTTGGGTCAAAATGAACCTAGTGCAGATAAAATCCCAAGTATGTGAGGGCTCCAGTGGTGTTCCTCAAGGTTTAATGCAGTATATGTGATAGAGTGAAAAGGGAGAGGGGTTCTGGAAATTCAAAGGAACTACAAATCGGACTTGCTTGCTTATAGCAAATAAGCAGTGCTCTTCCAACTAACAATATTTTTTGTCATAAGCCTTAAATCTGCATGAAAGGCAGGGCTAGTGATAAGGTTGATAGTAACAACAGCGATAGCCACAAAGCAAGATTAATAAGGAATGCTCAGTTTACAATGTTACATCTCCGTGCGATTAAAGTGCATATTGTGAATTTATATTAAAGGCACTGTTGGCAATATTTCCATCGGAATGCTTTAACCTTGGGAGCAGGTTTGAAGGAGTAACAGGTATAAGGTGACATAAGCAACAAAAACTAACTCCAAATAGACCCAGTATGAAAGCTCTATAGAACCATAAAGAAAAGCACAGCTGGCATGGGAGTATTGTAAAATCACAAAGAAAAATATCCATCTTCCTGACTCCTTGCCCCAGTCACACTCCAGCTCTTCTCATCCCCCGTTGGAAAGATTAAGCACATACCTCCTAGCTCCCTATTCCTCCCTTTGTGTTGTGTTCAGACCATTCAAAGGACCCTGTCATCGATCTGAAATACCTGGCTCCCAAATTCAATCCCCTCTATTTCTATTCCTTCATTAATTCCTATTTCTTCAGCACAGGCGAATCTCATGCAGTCCTGTGGAAAAAGAAATATTAACTAACGAACTGACCTTAAAGTTGTTACACAGAAAAACCAGCTTGAATAATTCCATTCATTACAAAATACATTTGTTAGTTCTCTATGTCCCAAGCTGTGTAGGACAAGGCTCCTGCCTTTGAGGGATTAGTATCTTAATTTTACATATATTATTTGCTTGAATTTTATAAAAGGACAGATGCATCCAAAAGTAGAGGGGTTGCTGAGACTATTAGCAGACTAAATAAGCTGACTGAGTTTTGGAGAAGGATACCTTTCAAACAATAGTAAAATCACACCTCGGAATAAGCAATGGTTGCCTTGGGAAGGGGGAGATGGGGCACATGTCGTCTTCTTCTGAGGGTGAGAAAAAAAGTACTTCCCTTTATTTGTTCATACCCTAACATATGGTTTCCTTGTAAAGAATCTCAAATCTCCTTACATATTTTTATTTTGACATATTTATAGAATACTTTGTATTGAAACTCTGAATGCGGGTCACTAACAGGGAATCAGGTAATTATGACTTAAATACACAGGAAAAAAGCTCAGAAGAAAAGAATAGAAAGTTCCAGAAACTTCCTCTTCTGGCCTCTGAACACAACCTGATTGAGAGCATCTGAGAGCCAGAGGCAATGAATTGAAAAGACCCAGCTCTCTGTCCTCCTGGTTAACAGAACAGGTTGACTGAAACAGACATTGCTCTCCAGGGCGATTTTGTGTCTCATGGCCTGGAGATTCCTGGGGTGCTCTCAGACTCGCGCTGCACCCTCCACTTCTGCCCATATCCAGTGCTCTCCCTATCCCAGGGTCTCTGATTCACTGATTATGTCTCTAAATTGTTCTAGACTTTTTTCCTGTGCTTTGGAGAGGATGAGCCAGGAGTGAAGTATTGGACTCTGGGTCTTAAAGTATGAACTAAATTGAATTCTGCTCCTCAACAAAATATGCTGAAGCTCTCTAGTTTGGAATGTATCATTTCACAGAACAATGCCAACTGCTCAAAACCTGACAGAAGAGAGGGAATGGGAGAAAGAGAGAGAGAAAAAAATATTGACAGTCATAAAAATAGTTTTGGTTCACATGTTTAATAACACCCAAGAGTTTAGACTTTTTCCAGAGGAAATGGTAATTTATTGATTAATGAAATGACCTATTTTAGGAGACTTACTTGATATCCTCTTAGGTCTCCATGATTGTGTTTGCTTTGCAGGTAACTATAATACTTGCGGGAATTTGCCTGGATTCTCAGGATAGTTATACGTGAAGGAACGGAGGAGATGGCAAATTAAGGGATGCTGCTGCATAGGAAATGTTGGTACAAGCTCATACAAACTGTTTTGGGAGATCATTTGCAAGACTCAAATTGCAAAGGCTCAAATATACATGGTCAGAATTATGTAAAAGCCATCTGTGCTTTAGTTCTACTATCTAATTATATTTTGTTAGACTTACTATTGACCTAAATGCTGTTATACTGTCATGTGTAACTTACTATTTTTATAAATATATTCTTGCATCCACAGTGATTACTATCTTTACCAAAACTTATGAGGGAGATACAAGGACAGAAAGGATAAGCTGTCTTCCCTACCCTTTAGTTTTATAGATGCAGAGATAGTAGATATCGGCTTATGTGAATCATCATGATTTCAAGAAATTGCTTGCAGTCTCCTGACATTTCCTCTGACTAATTTTAATACATTGCTTACCTATTTCAAAATGGAGCAATGAGTAAGAATGCTAATCCTGAACTCTCTCTTTTTTTCAGTAATAGAGACAGCATTTTTGAGGAAATAATATCTTTATTTCAGTGAGCGGACGGGCCTCACAGCCATTTCATTAAAGCACTCGACCAGTGACTAAAATACAGTATTACCTTCAATATCCAGGTGGAAAGAGAGAGAGAGTTTAGTTACTTCTGTAGGGGTACCCAGCAGATGGCTGTTAACCTTGGGATCAGGTTTGAAGGAGTATCAGGCATAGGGTGACAGGTGTAAGATAGACTGCATTCTTTATCATTTCTCCAGAATCCAAATCTTTTTGAGTTTGCCGTTCTGATACACCACCATGTGAAAAGCATACATGCTGTTTATGTATTGCCAGTCAAGTATTTACTTCTCAAATGTTTTGTGCATTACAATTGTTGATTGTTTGGCTTATAATGTTTCCTCCAGTGACTGTTTCCTGTCAAGTCATCAAACATAGGTAACAATAAAAAAAAAAAAATCCTGGATTAAATATTAAAAGAAGCCTATCAGACTTTATATCTCCTGGTAATTTGAAATGTGAACAATAATACATATGCTTTAAAACTATGCTGAAAAGACTGATAAATGATAGCACCCTAGAGAGAAAGGAGGCAGAAATGCTTATAAAGCCAAGGCCCTGGGGACTCCCTGGATTGTAGTCTTACTGAAGCTTTGTTGTTCATCTCTTACTTGATTTACTCGATACTACGATCTAACATAATATCCATGCATCAAAGAGGCGTACAACCAAGAGAAAACTACAATTCAAATAGTCGGTGTCTCTCTTTTTATAAAAACTATTCTATTAATTCACACCCACAGTAAATTTTTTTAAACCCTCTGACCAAATAATTAGTCATGAAGAAACCCTTTGCTATCATCAGAAAACCTTCGCCACTGTGTGCTTCTTAGTGTTCTCACGTCGTTTAATCTTCTTCCACTAAATCTAAATATGCTGCCTTTTATCTATTTCATCATCTATGCAACTGTATACTCAAAAGTCCCTGTTTTAAAATTCCATATTGGTTTAAACACATCCACCTATTTATTGATTTGTCAGCAACATTAAATAAATGAAAAACTAGATAAATATCTTATACCTACAAAATGTAAGTACCACCCAATTTCCATGAATAAATTTTAACATTAAAAATGTATAACTGTTAATAATTTATGAGCTCGTTTTCTAAAAATCAGAAAAAGAATTCGAGTAAAATAAGTATGTTTTTTCTCAAAATGCTTTTTAAAAGCATGGAGCAATACAAAAAGTAAGATCACGATACAAGTGGTCTTGATTAAAAATCTGAGTATGTCATGAAATATTGCCATTACTACTGCTTCCCTGGAATATACACAGATTATTGTATGAAAAAGAACAATCAGAGATTATAAGAGAGGAAATGAAAATAAGAGGTTAGAGAAGAAGAGGGGAAAAGGGAGTTCAAAATTAAGTCCTTTTGTTCATAGCATTCTTTGAATGTTTTGAAAGACCACAAGGACATTTATAAATGTAACCTTTGTATTTAACATAGTGACAGATAATACTGTTAATAAATATTTTTAACATGTAGATATTATAATTATTATGTATTGTCATTATTTTCAAGTGCAATCATAAATTTCTGCAAAATCAAAATTCTGCAGAAAATCACAAAGGATAAAATCACTAACTCCTAAGATAATTAATTGGAAAACATACAGCCGATATTACACATATAAAAAATCTGCCAGTAAAAAATTACATTACATGCACATACTAACATACATACACATACATATATAAATAGCAGATAGATGAATACATATTAGGTTATGACTGTGAATGTTTTGAAAATCCTTCTGTGATGTCATTATTTTTCCAATGTATTATATTTCAATGGGAGTGGGCAATATTAGTGGATATGCTAAAATTAATTTTATTGCTATGCAAAGACACAGAGTTTTGACAGAGGCTTTGAAACCGTTTAGACTGAGCCCAAATCCAGGCTCTGCTGCTTACAGGTGTCTTCAAATATAATTTTTTTTAGTAAAAGGCAAAATATATTCGATGTCACAGCATTGTTGCGAGAATGAAATAAAGTAAGTACATACTTGGCACTGCACAATTTCAACCTTCTGTCTCATCATTACTGATCATATGGAAAATTGCCCCACGACAGCATCCAGTTTAGCGGAAGGGACTGAGAGCATTAGCAAACAAGAGGAAAGACAAATATTCAGGGTGTGCCAACTATATACCCATTATGTCCTTAGGCTTAATGTATTGTTGTAAAGGAACTAACTCAAAATTATGCATAGTGTGTTGGTTGGAGTCAGTAAGAAGAATCGGCCTAGAAACTCTGATTGAAATATATATATAATGAAACTGAATATAATTAAAAATCTACTACATGGAAGTAAGAACTCACAAATGACTTAAGTGGCCTAAGAGTATCTATGATTATCCCATTTATTAAGAAGCAACATTATTACTCTTCACAATAAAATAGTTATATGACAAAGAATTCATTGCAATAATTAGTGGAAAAAATATAAAATATTCATTTTGTTTTCATTGTCCTTTGAAAGGAAAAAGAAACATTGTTAAAGGAAGAATACATTTTTAATATTTAAAGGGTAAAATATATTATTATTTTATTTTTATTTATCTATATATTTTTTAAATTTCAAATGTATTTTAGATACAGGTGGCACATGTGCAGATTTGTTACAGGGGAATGTTGTGTGATGCTGAGGTCTGGGATGGAGTATGGATCCTGTCTCCTTGGTAGTCAGCTTCAGGGCAGTTTAACCTGCCTTCTCTCCTTTGACACGCTAGTAGTTCGTGTCTGTGGTTCCTGTATGTACTCAGTGCTTAGCTCCAACTTATTAGCGAGAACATGTGGTATTTGGTTTTCTGTCCCTGCATTAATTTGCTTAGGATTATAGCTTCTGGCTCCATTTATGTTGGTGCAGAGGATGTGATTTGATACTTTTGATAAAATATATTAGTTTTATTGAAATCCATTTATATTAAAGAGCTATGTCAAATGTAATTTTTAGCTTTGGTAATTTTAAAGTATTTTGATAAAATATTAAAGCTGCTTTTTAGTTCTTTTGTCTTTCTATATCTCCTTTCTATTTTCATCCACATCTTTGATTCAGAGTGGCATATATTTACTGAATACTGGTATCAAAACAAGAGAAACAGCAAATGACTACTTCTCAATGCTTGTGAACATATAATGACCCTATATAATTTCTAGTTTCCAATATATAGTTGTATGGGCCAGGCTATGCACTGATGTAAACTAGCCATTCCCATAATATACATAAAAAGGGAAGTAACATCAATTTATTTAGACATATATTGACCAATATTTCTCTTAAATACTGTTACCAGTACAACATTCCAGTTACAATAGAAAAAAAGCAAGTTTTAATTTTAATTTTTAAATAGCAAATCACATCTCAAAACTTTCCTTCTAATACAAAAATACAGAAAGAATATACAACTGCTGTCACACCGGTTGACAAATATTTAAACGTTATATAAGATTATGAATTCCTAACAGTTAATTAACAGGACAATGTTAAATGCATACTGTATGTGTGTAGTAAGATACCATGAGCAGTATAAAGTATTAAGAGGGTGAAAACAAAATAGACAATTGCTCCACAGTTTCGAGAATTTGCATTTTAAAGTCCAAACTTTAAATTATTAATATTGCTAAAGGTATTGGACTTCACCACATGTGCATATAAGTTTGCCTAATATGTTTGACAAATTTGTGATATGATCTTAAATGAATTATTAACTTCTTTGATGTCAGATTCTTCACCTGTAAAATGGTGATGATGGCAGTGGTAACTGTAGAGATACATATTTCATGGTTTTATCAAGAGGGGTTAGTAGCATTGCATACATGGTTTAGCATATGGCCCAGTGCATAAGAAGTATTTAATAAAAAGTGAGATTTTTTATTATAAAGCCTTAGGAGTTGCTTTGTGGTATGTATTTTAGTAAATAGTCACTATATAAGTGGCTATTTTTTTTGCTGAACTTGAAATACCCACGATAAAATATGCAGAAAGTCAAATGTCATGACCATATATTTAATCGCTTTAATTCTTTAATATTCTTTAATTGTCAAGAAATTGTTTTCTTTCATTTTATAAAAAGTTTAATTAATATTCTATAATGACATATACCTTTCAAAACATCCTTTTTTTCTGCCTTACTATCAGTGAACTTCTTACATGGGCTTAACTTATAGAATCTTATATATTATACTTCTAGGAAATATTTTCATTAAAAAACAAACTCTGCACATGTACCCTAGAACCTAAAGTACAATTAAAAAAAAACTCTTGATTCAAATGAATGGCACATACTTTTGTTTTATAGACTGTGCAATACCAGTCCCAATACACCTTAGAAAGCTGCCTACTCCCATTGCTTTCAAGACTTGTTTGGATTGGTACAGAAACCTGTAATTTATTTTCCACTGTGCCTTACACAAGCCTGATAGAAGTAAGGCCATAATATTCAATTATGTCAGTGGCCACAGAAGTGAACACATGTAATGCTGTCTTCCTCAGTAAAGTCCACAATTTTTGTTTCTTCTTGTCTTCAAATTCTTGGAATAAAAGTTGCCAAAATTATGGCCCAATAGGAATTTACTTACAGCTTTTAGAATAGAAATAGGACTTTTTTTCTTTCTTTGGAAGAATTCTGTAATTGTCCAAAAGGTTCTACTTGCTCGTTGCAAAAATAGAGACAATTTACTGAGACAGCATTAGTGCAATAGAGAAAGATTTTAATGCAGAATGCAGACTGAAAAATATCTTGACACTAGTTTTTAGTTTTACAATAGTGATGTTATCCATAGGAACAATTGGGGAGGCTAGGAATCTTGTGGGCTCTGGCTGGATGACTTCTGTGCCATAATTTGTAATATTGTGGTTAATTTGTTAGTTTT